AAAAAAAAAAAAAAAAAAACTACCAGCTAGATTGTAACTGCTCCTGACAATTACATGGAGTAATAATAAACCCGGTTTTCCCTATTTCATGCAAAATGCTGATCATCACCAGTATAATTTTTGGTGTTGTTATCGTTAAGTAGAGATTATAGGTCTGCTGTGGTAACTTGTTCCTATGTATTTTAGGTCTATCCCATTCCTTTTAGCACCTTCAACCATCTAATATAGTGTTTAGTTACTAAATGGTGCAGTTAGAATTCTATATAAGACATAACAAAACCACTTGAGGTGACCTTCTCTTATATATCATCAAAAATATGGGCCACAACTATAGACTTATTTCACCATATGAATGCAAAAAGCATACACCCATTCCAACAAAATACTTTTTTTTTCCTTCTTTTTGGGGTGAGGGTGGGGTGTAAGTTTAGAGGTGTATTCCTTACTAACCAAAACTGGCTACAAAGCTCAAAAGAGGAAATACATAACCAATCACACTACCTTCTTGGCTCCATTTTTTTAAGAGGACCAACACATTCCACAATTATATAAGAGAAAACTGAAAGTATAATCACCTTTTTACAATAGGTTTTTCCAGGTTAACTCTTCAAGACTTTAATTCCACGTTTGGGAGAATGGAAGACAAATAACCTTCCCAGTCAATTTATTAGGAATTGGTCAAAACCAAATAAATTGACCTTCAAGGACATAAAAAGACTTTACTCGCTATCCATCTATATAAAAAATTCCTACCCCACTCTTCTTTTTCTTTTCCTATCCCCTGGTGAAACGCCTCAATTTACCTTATTTCAAAAAAAAAAGTCCCAATCCCACTCGTTATCCCATCTTTCCAACCTAAAATAAGTTTCACCGACACCAAGGGAAAGAAAAAGGAGGTCAAAGAAGAAAGATAATATAACTTTACCTTCTCAATATTGTCCATCATTATTCCTTTGACCTCTGTGATTTGAGCCTTCAACTTAGAGAGCTTGCTCATTTCATCAGGATGGTTCATACAGTACTCCATGTGCTCTTTAAGTTTTGGCCTAGCAATTTAAGGATAAATAAATCCAAGTTAAATGGGCTGATTTTGGACTCTATACCAAGTCTACAAATATATTTTACTTGTAGGTGAAAGGAATAAATACACATACCCGAATTCTCTATCAAGATTGTACGCGATGCTAAAACGATCCCCGAATAGATCATCATCTTCTTCTTCATCATCAGCAAGAGGGTGCGGATCACCATCATTTTTAATACTTGAACCATAACGTTTCTTGAAATCATCCTTAACCCTTTCAAGAAAGACAAAAGGTACACTTCTTCCAGTTGATTCATCAGCAACAACTAGGAAGACTGCAAAATGTATTGGTAGAAACTATTCAGAATCCAGTTAATTTGAAATGAATTATATACAACACCAAATATTATAAGAATAAATAAATACCAAATCCACTATCAATGAGGAAGTTGAAGGTGTGACCATCGCATGAGTATGTATACTTGCTACTATTTGAAGGAAGCTTCTGCAAGCACTGGACAGCAATGGTACTGAAGTTCCCTGAATAAGGTGTATGCTCAGCTAGAACAACAGTTCCTCTCGCAACAAAGCTATAAATCAAACCTTTTGGATTCATTTTCAGACACAAACTCCAATGTCGATGACTGCAATTACAAAAAAGACCAAGCTGATCCCTTAATGAAATATGCAAATATCTGACAAAAAATGGACACAAAAAAAACAGCTTTTCCATGAGATTAAAATGATCACATCTGCCTTCACTAAATTGATTATGTTCAAAATACAAACATAAAAAGGTCTTCAAGCATTGGTTTTACATCTATCAATAGAAACCCTAGCTTGTATGCACCAAAGACCTCAATTTCTAGAGTCCAAAGGGAAAGATAATAAGGGAAAAATAGGGGAGAGCCGGAGAGGTGAATATTACTCCCTCCGTCCAATTTTATGTGACACACTTTTCTTCTTAGTTATCCCAAAAAGAAGACACAGTTCCATATTTAGAAATAATTTAACTTTAATCTTCTCATTTTGCCTTTAATGATTTAGTCACACAAATGTTAGGCTTATTTTAGACCAGAAGTTTTGAAAATCTTACCTTCTCTCTTAAACTCAGTGTCTTGGTCAAACAGTGCCACAAAAATTGGAACGAATGGAGGGAGTATATGATACGCCCAAAATCAAAGATGCGCATATTGCAAATAAGAACCGACAGTCAAATCGAAGCAACTTCAACAATCTAATTAGGAATCTACAACTATAATCCGGGAAACGAAAATCAATAATTTCCAACTAACTATCGTAGGAACACGATTATAATTGGAATTGTCAAAACTTCCGATCAGATCCTCACCAATATTGTTCAATTCGTGCTGAAAATGTCAAAAAATTATAGAAACAAATAAATACACGCATATGTATAGAGAACCTGAGGTTGCAGAAATTGTGATTGCTTAGTGAGCACGACTGAAGTGGAGCTTCAGATTTCGACGCGAGGAGAAGGTGCGAGGGGGGATTGGTGAAGAAAACGTGGAAAGGACTTTTTCTTACTCTTCAATTAACAGCGACGGAGTCGAGGAGCCGAAGTTATAAGTCTGGGACCAAACTGTATAATTATGAATTTGATTAACTGGTAGACGGTTTACATACGTTTAAGCTAAATTACGCTGACACGGCAAAAGGAAGAATATACAAGGGCTTTTTTGGAAATTTGAACAATTGGACTTTTCATGTTTTTTTCTTTTTCTATTTTAATAATTTTAAGTATTTGACTGGGTACAGAACATATGTTTCTGTCTCTTGAAAGTTTTATAATTTGGAAGGAGATTTACATCATTGTTATTGGTTTTTTATTAATGCTATGCGTCATTGCAGCAATTCATTTAATATGTTACATTATATTAGTATTATAAAGTGACTAACCCTTGAAAGAAGAAAACTTTAGAGGATTCAAGCTCATGCAATCTACTCGTAAAAGAGTTAGAGGCATTCTTTTTCTTGAATAACTATTAAGAACAGATATTATTTATTTTTTATATTATTAGTGCATGATATTATAAAATGACAACAAATGATATAATTTATTCAAATATTATATACATCAAAACAATACAATATTATACAATACAATATATTATAAAACGATACATAACAATCATCCAAACAAGCCGTAAAAGATCAAGAAATATATTTTTTTTACGAAGAGTTAATATGTGTGTACGTGAGTAATTATTATCTAAATTTTGGGATCATGTGGAGTGATAAGTGTCAGTGAAGAAGTATAAAACTTCAAAATCATAAACTTGAGTGACCACAAGAACAACAAATCCAGTGCGGTCTGGAGAGGGTGAGCAGTACGCAGCCTTACTCCTGCCCTAGAAAGCAGAAAGGTTGTTTCAAAAGACTCTCGACTAAAAGAAAGATAAAAGGAGCAATTGCAACAAGTATAAACACATAGATAAAAAAAGAGCCGAAACCAAGGTAGCAAATAAACGGTAGTAATAACAATCTAGGAATAAATAGATAACAAACTAACACTAATGCTAACGAACTAAGGAAGACAAGGGGAGACACTCGACTACCTACTAACCTTCTACCCGCCAATTACCTTTTCCTAAGACTTCTTTGGCATATCTTTACCCCTCCTACCCGCCAAGGTTAACCTCTCACACCTCCTCACTGGGACTTTTATGCTTCTCCTCTTAACATGTCTGAACCATCTCAATCTCACATCTTATCCTCCAAGGGGGCCACTACCCGTCGATGACTAATTTAATATAAGTACCAATCAATGACTAGTAACAATCAATTAGTAGCTCTCTTCGCGACTCTGTTCTTGTCTCATTTGTTGTTTTAGCTAATTGCACACCCTAATTAACTAGAAAATGAAATCCTGAGAACTTTCTGCTGGTCATCATTTTGAGGGTTGGAGAACTTTCTTCTAGTCATCATTTTGAGGGTTGGAAGTACAATGGACAATATCGATAGAGAAATAAAAAGCTCTCCAAGATCTTCAAATCCCCAATCTAATCATTGCTTGATTTGATCAGATAACTATTTCTATATTATGTGTTGGATTATTTTATCTGGTGTATCTATGACAAAGCATTTCTTTTTAATTATGTTGTGCTATGATTTTCCTGAGCCGAGGGTCTATCTGACAGAAGCGTATCCAGAGGTGGACCCATGTGTACGGGTGAGGGGTCACCGGACCCCGTAAACTTCGGATGAAATCCTATATATATATATTTATATACCTTGAAAATGGTTAATTTAAAGCAGTTGACACTCTGAACACTAAAAGCTTTTAGGGGGCACTGGTTGAGCAGAATAAATGTGCCCCCGTTGCGTAAAAATTCTGGGTCCGCCTTTGGGAGTATCTAGGATTTCTAAAACATAGTGCACCACTAAAGAAAGGAGGAAAAAATATATTAAAGTAGGAATTGATTCATGTTCCTTTGGATAAATAATTCAATATTCAATCAAGTACACCATTCAACCTTCGTGGAACATGGGTGCCAACAAATAATATTAAACTAATTATAGAAAATACATGCATAAAATATAATCTAATGAAGCGAACCATGGGTTCACGTGCCTCATAAACTATCCTATAAATCCGTTTTTGCTATCGGAAACAACCTCTCTACCTCCACAAGATAAGGATAAAGTTTGCGTACACACTACCCTCCACAACACTACCCTCCCCAGAACCTAATTGTGGAATTATGCTGGGTTTGTTGTTGTTGTATCTATGACAAAGCAAGCGATTTCAAAAAGAAAACCAAAAGATAAAAAGGAGTTAAAGCCAACAAGTGCTTAAAAACTGATCTAAACCAAACACCCTCGTGTCATCCTATTCTGTAGCTAGATATCAGAAATATGGACAAGTCAATTAAACAAAACACAGACTGAATATGATTACTGTTTTGTGTACCACTCCCTTCATAGGAATTTTGAAGCAATGAAAATCTATAACTTTTAATACCACTTAACCCCAGCATCATGTAGCTCATACACTGGCTCATACTTGTGCTCCTTAAGTATGCACCACCTACCTCAATTTCCACTATAATTATCAACCTACATAATGGCTAATCTAATAAACAGCATCACTACGACATCCAGCAGCATGACAAATAAGACATTGTGTGTGGGGACGCAGGGAAAGGCTGCACCTTAAGGGGGTGTGATTTAGGCAACCTACTCTGATGCAAGTCTTTACCGTTGCTCCAAGGCTCCCCTCGCCCTTCGATTTGAAAATATTCAGTACTTGTATCTCAACTAAGTAGAGATCTAAAGGACATAGCCTGCTGGAATAACATTTTAATCACAGGGAGGGGCTGGTGCCCGAAGCATTCTGCGTTCACGGGGGGTGCAAGAAAGGGCCGCACACCAAGGGGATGTGATGTAGGCAACCTACCCTGATGCAAGTATCAGTGGTTGATTCCACGGCTCGAACCCGTGACCTATAGGTCATACGGAGACAACTTTACCATTGCTCCAAGGCTCCGCCTCACCATACGATTTGAAAATATTCAGTATTTGTATCTCAACTAAGTATATATCTAAAGGACATAATCCACTGGAATAAGATTTTAAGCACAGAAAGCAGACAATTATATTATAACCACTTAACCACAAATGCAGCTTCTTAAGAGAAACTGTCAAACTTGAATTTTTTCGTGCACTTGGCACTGAAAATGAGTTCAGTTTCAGTCTTGAAGAACAATGTAAGACAATTGTGACAACAATCACTGGAGAGGGTTGGAATTTATAACAAAGTATTCCAACCATTAATTTAGAAGAGTTCAATCTTCCAGTCAACCATAATAATCCACTGGTCGCAGAGGAAGGTTCTTCCAAACAATCCATACTTTCAAGGTTTCACACCATTAATAGCTGGAGTGAGACCTCGGGTATTTTTCACATAAGCCACATATTCACTGTAGTGCATAGTAAATAATGTGCTCTGGTATCGAGTTAAACGGATTCGTTTCCTCAGTGATTCTGTTATAGGTCCTTCGTAACCTGCTTTGCGTATCAATGAGTCAATTGCTTCTATCACTGTCCACCCTGGAGACAAAATTCAGAGAGTTCATTTTGCAGCTCAATCAGTTCCAAAAGCGCCAGAAAATCTTAAACAGACAAGAGGTACAACACTCCTCATCAGTGATAGGGAAGGAGGAAGAAAATCACCTTCATGAGCGGCGACCTCAGGTAGGTATGTGGCATTTCTCTTTGTGTTATAGTTAGGGTCAGTGAATTCAATGATTATCCCATGCGTACCTACCTGAACAAACCCATTACATTCGTGAGAATATAATACTAGTACAGCCAGCCAACAAGAGAGAAACACACTGTTGGGAAGAAATGCTGGTAGATAATATTGTGAACCAAGTTGCTCGGACACGGGTGCGGGTGTCCGATACGGGTGCGGATCTAGAGGTCGGATCTTTCGAGATGCTGGTAGCTAATATTGTGAACTAAGTTGCTCGGACACGGGTGCGGGTGTCCAATACGGGTGCGGATCTAGAGGTCGGATCCTTCGAGATGTAAATTCTAAGATTCGGGAATACGGATCCTAGAACGGGTAGGGATACGGGTGTGGGGATCTGGCTAAAAATAATTCAAAAATATAAAAATATCTCTAAATTTTGAGAAATTTTCGAGGAATACTTAAGCATAGCTTGTAAAGTGTAGATTTCTTTTTTATTTTCAAGGTTGTAGATAATTAAAGGACTGATTTCCTAGATACGGTAAGCTATTTTTTTCCCCAATTTTGGTTTTGATTTCGAGAATCAAATTGTATCTCGCCTCAAATTTTTAGTCAAAGTACCCAAAATTATTTGACCAGATTCGGTACGGACCCCACACTCACACCCATACTAGTGTCGTGTCGACACGGGTACAGCACCTAGACTGCCGTGTCGGAGCAACTCACAACAACAAACCCAGTAGTTTCCCACAAGTGGGGTCTAGGGAGGGTAAGATGTACGCAGTCTTACCCCCTACCCCTAGAAGGGCAGAGAGTATTTTCGATAGACCCTCGGCTAGAGAACGATTGGAAAAAAAAAAGGTCATTACAACAAGTAGGAATAACAACAAGATGAAATAAGATTGAATCCAAGAATGGAGTCAAACTCTAGATAGTAATAGTCATCTATGGATAAAAGATATCATACTAACACTAATGCTAGCAAACTGAGCAAGACAAAGAGAAACGTTCAACTATCTATAGACCTTCTACCCTAATCGTTGACCTCCACACCCTCCTCTCTAGGGTCATGTCTTCAATCAGCTCCAGTTGCGCCATGTCCCGCCTAATAACCTCTCCTTAAGACTTCTTAAGCCTACCTCTAACCCTCATGCTACCCACCAAGGCTAACTGCTCGCACCTTCTAAACTTCTCTTCTTAACATGCCCGAACCATCTCTACCTCGCCTCCCGCATCTTATTCTCCACAGGGGTCACTTCTACCTTTTCCCGAATAACTTCATTCCAATCTTATCCAACCGGGTATGCCCACACATCCACCTCATCATCCTCAACCCAGCTACTTTTAGCTTCTGGGTATGAGGATTGTCAATAATGAGGATTTACGCACTAGTGAATAG